TTTTTTCCTTCCTTCCTTTCTTTCTTTTCCCTTTCTTCCTTCCTTCCTTCCTTCCTTCCTTCCTTCCTTCCTTCCTTCCTTCCTTCCTTCCTTCCCCCAGAGATTGGTTGTCACTTTTTCTAATCTGATAATTACTGTAATTCACCAGATGCAATGTTGCATTTCAAACTACAAAATTACAAATTTCAATTCTTTTGTCACCAAACTAAGTCTAAAGTAAAAGACTTGGAAATGGAAATGCGAATCTTTGTGGAGCACTGAAAAAGGAGAGTGAGCAAAAAGATCTGAAATCCAGAGCAAAAAAGTAGCAAGGGTAGGATGGTTACTTAACCTTTTTTCAGTTGTAACTTCCCCTTAATTACTACTACCTACTATTGTCTTTTATGTGCACTTTCTTGCCATGGTAGGATAGAGGGCAGGATAAAGTGGCATTCCTATTCTTCTATTTCACACCTCACAATACTCATAATACTTTTCAGATGTGTGGTAGAAAGCAGGGTCTCTCAAACATCTATTTTAATCTTGAAAACATATAATTCAGTTTCTAGTTCCTCTTTCTAAAATAAGTTTGCCTGACTGCTTCAGAGTATTTTGCTGAATGAGAGCTTTAAAATAGCTAAACAAACAAATAAATAGTAAATATCAAAGACAGGATGGAACATTTTTCTAGGCAAATATGCTTTGCTCAAATGAAAGAAAGAAATCAGCATGGGTTGGATGCCAGGACTCAATAGCATTGCTATGATAGAGAAAGGAAGCCACCCATCCAGGGTATGTTTACTTTCTTGTCTCATTCTGTTGAATCGGTGTTCCTCAAATGTTTTACATATCTGGTATATTTAGGAGTGATATATTGAATACCTCTTTATTAATGTCTCAGATTACAAGTACTACAGAAAGGAAGACATTTAGAAAATACTTACGCCGTTCAGAAACAGAGAACTGGCTTCCACAAGCTGAAATGAAAAACAGAGAAACAATCCATTCAACAGGACACACATTTTGTGATAAGAGACCATCCGGCAGTTTTTAAACAGAAATACAATTCTAGGTGGGACATAAGGGTCACTATTTTTTTCACAGGAATTTCGGGGAAGCTGGAGTTTTGTTGCAATTTTAATGCTTCAACTTTTTATAACCAGGATGATACAGTGGATGTCCTGTTATCTTCTTTCAGGTCTCTATTGCTTAAATCAGTGTTTCCCAATGCTAGCAACATTAAGACGTGTGGACTTCAACTTCATGTTGGCTGAGGAATTTTGAGAGTTGAAGTTCACACATCTTAAAGTGTTGAAGTTAAGAAACACTAGGTTAGACTGACGCAATTAGGGATTTCAGTAGTTTTTCAGTTCATGTTGTGGTTTCTTTTGATTTAACAGATTAACTGAGTTGGAAGGAACCTTGCAAGTCATCTAGTCCAACCCGCTGCCCAAGCAGGAGACCCTACATCTGCTTCTACCTAGGATTGAACTCACAACTTCCTGATTGTGAGGCGAGAGCTCCACAGCCACAGGCGACTTTGATTTGTGCAGTTTAGGTTCTCAATAATTTGCTCTTTCTCCATAATGGTTAGGACACACAAAAAAGAACTTAGTTATAGATAGATTTTAGTAACTTAAATTTTCCTATCACAATGTTAGTTCCTGAATAATGTTCACAAAAGTATCAGCCTCAACAGTACTTTCTTACATGTTGCACTTTGAGTATTTCTCTTTAAAAACATTGTTCGTCCTGCAAAAAACATGTTTGACTTCCCAAACTATTTTCCCTATGGAAATTGTCTCTAGCTGCTTCTTGTATGACAAATAAGGCAGAAGTAGCAGACATTTTTTTCCTCAAAAACATCTACCTATGGGACAGGACTTTGAAAAACCCTGGAGTAAACTGTATATGACATTCAAAATCCTCCCCACTGTTGCAAAAGTATCTACAATTTCCCCAGTAAGTACACATCCAGTTAAAAAAAGATGAAATAGATCCTAATCCCAGATTTCTAACCTACTGAGTGATTTGGATCAAACAACACATTGCTAAACAGAGCATATGAAAAACACCAGGCATAGCCGTCCCATTGAATAACCATGCTTCAGCACCATCCAGGGCAGATATGAGTTGAATTGTTTACAAGAAAATGAGAATATGGATATGAAGAGTCTAGAGGGAAAATGGCAAGGTTGAAGGGGCCAATTAGCCTTACTTACCACAATGTTGACTCATCTCTTGCCTGACAAATTGTCGGACTTCTTCTTCCTGCAAAAAAGCACAAAGCAAATAATTTGGAACTAATTGTTATTCATTCATTCATTCATTCATTCATTCATTCATTCATTCATTCATTCATTCATTCATTGCACAGTTATCCGACCCACAATCCAAATGGACTCTCAACAGTTAATTATAAAGCAATAATGTTTTATTTATTAGATTCATAGTCTAATATTACTTTACTTTATGACTATTTATCTATTATATATATTGTGCACTATTACTCAGGCAGCTTAGAAATAGCAATAAAAACTGCAAAAACCCATAAAAACATAATAAAAACTCCCATTGTCCTCTTAAACAATACTCCCCCCTCCAATCAATATATAATTTTACTAAGCTCCAGCCTCCCTGTAGCACAAAGCGTGTGGGAAGAACCAGCTCTTTAACACTTTCCAGAAGGAGAGGAGGGTAGGGGTCTGCTGAATCTCAAGCAAAAGGGTATTTCAAAGGGCAGGGTCTGCTCTCAAGGCAGCACTGTGTCTAGGTCTCCCATAAATGTGGGAAATAATCCTTTCCATTTTCTTCATCAAATCCTTCCAAAGCAGCATCCAGGTCAAAGCAAAATACAAAAGCAAGCCTTCTAAAAGTCTGGAATGTGAGCGATCAAGTTCAGTGCTTAATTAAATGTAATTTTTGGTAAAGAAAAAAAAAACTCTGCTGCTGCAGCCACCTAAAATGAATTTAGGAATACACAAATCCCAATCCTGTCTCAGGATTCTGATTCAGAATGTTACTAGGCTTCAGTTTCATTCACTAGTAGAAAGCTGGCAAAAACGATAAACAAATGTGCTCAGGCTAATGTATTGGAAAGGCCTTTTCCCTCACCGTCATGCCAGGTATTCCTTTTTCTCCTCTTAAGCCGTCAAGCCCTGGACTTCCCTGTCAACATGCAAACAAACAACCAAAGTTATTAAATCAAAGCATTTGGAGCTGAAAAATATGCTCCTTTGGAAGAATATCTGAGATACACATTTTCATTTATTTAAAAAATGTATATGGTTTATAACTAAAATTGGATAACAACAAAAGCAAATGAGCTTGGCATCATTCCGATTTAGACTGGTTTCACACAAAAGGCTAAACCATGGATTATTAAATAAATCACAATAGGTTTAAATAACATGCCCAACTACAGTAAACCTTCTGTCAAACTGAATGGCCATCATTGAATTTGTGAATCTAAGAGTTTCTCAATCTATTCGGGACAGTCAAATTTCACAATTATATATATAGCATAGCCAGGACATATTTGGAGATATATTTAAGTATATCTAAGTAGCTGTTGAGTTAGAGTTTGCTCATACCCCTCTTAATTCAGAAATAGGGATGGAGGGAGAGGGAAAGCATTGTGGTAAGTAAAGATAATAAGTTCATAATCATAATGTATTTACAAACCTGTTCTCCCCTTTCTCCAGTCGTGCCTGGTGGTCCTGGAGCTCCTACAACTCTCTCACCTGCGGGGCCTCTTTCACCCTGTAAGAGGAAACCAAGCACATCAATTATGTCATCACATAGGACCCCTCAAAGTGGAGTCATTTCATCGGGCCAGACACCCCTTCTAGCCCTTCCTTACTTTCACCCTCCATCCCTTCCAGAAATGGTATTTTGAAGAGGTACATATCATCAACCATCTATCGCCATGCACCATGCACCATTCATGTTGAATAATGCTAATGATGTTAGTGATGATATATCATTTATATATTTTGTTTAATTTTAGGTTTTATTGCTTCCAATACAGCGATCTACCTTGTTTTTATTTCTTTGAAGAAATGGAAAAGAAGAAAATAAATTAAGGAAAATAGATTTAAAGTTAAGGACCACTACTTTTTAAAAAGAACTGAGATTAGTATGTCATTTGTCTTTGTGTGGAATTGGTTCATAAGTTCAAAGTGCTCTGGACTCATAGCATCTGTCAAGGAGCAGGTGACAGCTGTGGCCCACATGGCTTTGGAGTTATGTCTGGTGCACCAGTTATAAGCAGTTCTAAACTGGGAGGCTCTTCCCAATTCCCTATAGCTGCTCATGTCTCAATCATCTCCCATTTGGGTGATTCCAGTTCACCCTATGCAGGCTATCCCTGAAGATCACTTGGAAGACTCATCTGCAATGGCTCAAGCACTGATGGTCATCTACATTGCACAGGGGTGTTAAACTGGTGGCCCATGGGCTGGATATATCCTGCACAGGCCATGCCCACCCCAGCTCTGTGAAGGGAAAAACATTACGAAACATGACGGCAACGTGATGTAACGAATTTGACACCCGTGATGCAGCACCTATACATTGAGAGCTGCACTTTGCCTAGGATATTATTAGTCAAGAGCCTAAGAATCTACCTCCTACTAAAGATTGGCATAGAGCAATAGCAGTAATAGCAGTAGACTTATATACCGCTTCATAGGCCTTTCAGGCCTCTCTAAGCGGTTTACAGAGAGTCAGCATATTGCCCCCAACAATCTGGGTCCTCATTTTACCCACCTCGGAAGGATGGAAGGCTGAGTCAACCCTGAGCCGGTGAGATTTGAACCGCTGACCTGCTGATCTAGCAGTAGCCTGCAGTGCTGCTCTTTAACCACTGCGCCACCTTGGCTCATGTGAGAGCAAGCTACTAAAGGTTGAACTTGAGTGTTAGTTGGATTATGTCCACCCCTAAGATGAAAATGAAATGAGCAAAAGAAAGAAAGAGGAAAAGACAAAGTGCAGTCTAGCCATACTGTTCTTTTGTTGAGATTAAAATGCAATCATTTGATTACAAGAAGTACCAGAACACAATAGCTTATATTAGGCAATTCTGCAAAGGTAATCTATAAGAGCGATTCTCAAGCTTAGCAATTTTAAGATGCATGGACTTCAAATGGCAGAATTCTGGCTGGGGAATTCTGGAAGTTGAAGTCCACACTTTTAAAGTTGCCAAGGTTGGGAAACCTTGACCTAGAGTTTTGACAATAACAATCAAACAGTCCAATGATGAATACTTACTTTCTGCCCTTGAATTCCTTCTGGGCCTTTGGGGCCAATGTTGCCAGGTGGACCAGGAGGACCAGGGGGTCCATCATTCCCTACAGGTCCTGGGGAACCTATAATTCCTGGAGTACCCTACCAATAGAGATTTGAAGAATTCTTACATAGAGATTTCACTTGCAAAGAAATTTAACTATCCTGCTTCTGCATGGATCAATATTCTGCTAACTAGGATGGAATGTAGGAGTTTGTATAGAATTAGAATAGAATTTATTTTTGAACATCTGATTAATTTTTGTAGAATGGAGTAATTCACTCTTGTTAAAATTGTTTATAAATATTAAAAAACAACAGGTTTTTTTATTATATCATATTTTTTACAAAAATTATTTGAGTGCAACTATTCAAGATAATTTTGGCTTTTGTCAATCCTGTTGAATGTTTCTGATTTCAGCAGAAGACTATACATAAGGAAAAGTAATCTCAATTTAGTATTTCTATGTAAATTCAGTAAAAAGGATTAGATATATATAAATACTCATTTACGACTTCTTTGAGTCTTCTGATTTGTGTCAGGTTTACTGTATTACTTATTATATTATCCTCATTACACATATAAGCCTAGATCCGTTTTAAAAGGTAGAGACCTGGCAATCTTCCCAAAAGCAGAAATTTTATAACTTGTAATGTTAACTGAGGTTGCACAATGACTCTGAACAGGGTTAAAACAATTTCTCCATATGTTTCTCTAATAATGACTAAACATACAAGTGGACCATTTTAAGATTTTGGAAAACTTATTATGTTATGAAAATTAAACTGCAAGGTTTCAGGGGATAAATGATCTGCGCAATTAATTTAGGCTGCTTTTTGGAAGGTTTCAACTGGAGCAAGTAAAAGTTCAAAGACACATAACTGATACAAAGGTTTGTTTTTTGAGACTAAAATGAATAAAATGATTATGAAGGAATTCCAGCAACTTGTGTATCAAATAGAAGCCCTAGTTATAATGAAATTAAGGTTTCAAACTACTACGTTTTGGGCCAGGAAGAATAATTCTATCTTTTTGATATGGGACAAGTTTGGTTACAAGCATTTCTCCTATTGTGAGAACTGGTCCTCAAAGGGATTGAAATCTAGGCAATTTGAAGTAGAAAACCAAAAGATTACTCTGTTTATAGGTGAATTTCTATTGCTTTGATTGCAAATTAAATGGTTGAATTCATCCACAGTAAGGATTTTATATATTAATTTATCTATATCCATCTCTAGCTATATCATCTATATTTATTTATCTCCAAGAACAGCTTTTAAAAGCATGGCATTCCATTGAATTTCAGGTCTTTAAAGTATACAGATTTTATTGCATTGATTTTTTTTTCATTACCCTTTCCCCCTTTTCTCCCTGATCTCCTCTGGATCCTTTTCCGCCGTCAAATCCTCTGTCACCCTATGGGGAAAATAAATAAATATATAAATGGGGTGATATGTATAGAAGTAAATCATGTCGTCATATTCCACTCTCCCCACTCCCCAGTGTGTGTAAGCATGCTTATGTATCCATGTGTGAGTATGTGTATGTGCATCTTACATATGCAAAAAAAAGTTTACTTCATGGTAAAAAAAAATCATAAAGGCTGATTTATTAGTGATTGGTTGAACCAATCAAAATGGAGACAGCACCACTCCCAACCCAAATTCAAATCTTACATAGACAACAATATTGCAAGGCAATCTCTCTCTCTCCCTTCCTCCCTCCCTCCCCTCCTCTCTCTCACACACACAGTACTTCAATACTGATCACTGACACTTTATATATACTAAGTGTATACATCAAATCTGCACTGCCTCTATTCCCCCAAATTCACAGTACAGGCATCTTTGACATCAGTCACTAAGTTCCTTAGAGTCATGTATCTTTCGTTTGTGGTTCTAGCATTTATTTCCTTCCAATATAAGCGCATTACTCTATATCACTGTTTTTCAACCTTGGCAACGTGAAGAGGTGCAGACTTCAACTCTCATAATTTACAGTCAGCTTTGCCCTATGCTATTCTATGATGTATTTTTACTATGTTATTATATCATCTATTCATTATTCTATACCTTTGGACCAATGAGGCCTTCCTTCCCAGGGATTCCTGGTGTCCCAGGCATGCCAATCTCTCCCTAGGAAAACATAACAAAAGGTATAAGTTGTTCTGTTCAAATATACGGCCTGCTCTACTGCCCCATTAGAAGAAACTTACAGGATCACCCTTCTTTCCAATAAGGCCCATTCGGCCTGGTAACCCTGGCTCTCCCTAGAACAGAAGGGAAAAATGTTTTAGCTGGAAAGGGGAAAGCAAAAGAAAATGTAGACACCAATATTGCAACAGGCTTAGTGAACATCTTTGCTATGATAAAGATTGCCCAAGTGATTATATATCTATCCCAGAACAGATTATGAAAATGTCCAGAATTCTAGACATATCCAGAATTCTGCCCTTAAGGAGGAAAGCCTTGTATGTAACCTGAGACAAATTGGTGGAAGAAAAAATATATTTAATTTTTTACTGTTTATTTCAATTGTCTCTTCAGAGGGCTGTATATTTTCAATTCCTATCTTCCATTATGTTTTTTTTTCAATATTCCAAATTATCATTATGTACCTTAAAAACAAACAAACGTTATCTTCTCAAAAAACAAGTGGACAGAATAGCATTCAATACAGCCAAATATCCTATTTATAAAAATAGAGGCACTCTCATTTCGACCACAAATCAGGAAGATAAAAGAAGAGGAGATAATCTCCCACTTCTGATTGTTTCATAATTTGAAGCATATTTCTGTAAGCCTTGCTCAATAGAAGTTGGGGATAGAAAGATGGATCCAAAAGAGGTAACATAAAATAAACAATAGATAGTTCAACTCCCTTCTTTTAGTCTCTACGTTTGATATTAGATACTTTAAATATTTGATCAGAACAGTTTTGTGATCGACACTTGTGGCATGGGACACAGTTCAGATTCTGATGCTGACAATATTGCTGCAGCTGAGTCCGTAGATCAACAGTGTCGGGAATCATCAAACCATGATTAATCTGAGGCTGATCAACCTCAGGCATCTCCTGATCAGCTGGAGCAATCGGATGATGAGGTATAACCGCCAAACCCCTGGTCTTGACACATACATCAGTGAGCAGAGCAATGTTATTCAATGAGGCTCCTTGCTAGGCAAAGGGCAAGGCCTAAGTAATTGCAACCAGCTGTTTGCAGGTAGATTTATGTTGCTACTTTGTCTTCAGTCTTCATTGATTGATTGGAATTCCAATTGAGGACTTATGTTCCTATGTTTCCTTGCTCTTGAATCCTTGAGTACTGGCCTGGCAGACTATTCTATTTGACTCATTCGACTTGTGGAATGAATTTGGACCATTCTCTTGGTACCTGAGCTTCAAACATAATTATTCAGGCAAGCACCCTTTGCAAAGACCCTGATTTATGACTCTATTGGATTATTGTTGTGGTAAATGACTCTATTCTGTGTCTGGTCCCATCATATCAGTGTGGTCAAAAAACCTAGTAACTGAATTCTCTTCCCAACACTCATATTCACTGGCATCTAAGAAATGTTTTGCAAGCTCCTCTTAATCAAACAAACAAGGAAGTGTTTATGAGCCATTTCATATATTTGTTTATCAGACCAGAGGTGATATTCAGCCGATTTGGACTGTTTTGGCATACCGGTAGCGGAAATTTTGAGTAGTTTGGAAAACCAGCAAATACCACCTCTGGCTGACTGTGCCCCCACCATTCCCTGTCCTATATTCCCTTGTTTTTTTAACTCAGCTGATTCGCACAGCAGAGCAGATTGCCACGCTTCACCTGAGCTAAAAAAAAAACACAGCTCAGTTCACCAGCACTGACACCAAGGACAGTCTTTGAGTGCATGCTCTCATAGAACTAGTAGGAAAAGGTTTGGAATCCCACCACTGTATCAGACCCAACACTGCTTATCATTTATGTGAGTTCATATAAATGATTATGAGGGCAATATATAAGTGCCACTCCATATGTTCCCAGAATTCTTCCATTGCACACATTTGCTGGTGCGTTTTAAATACAATGATAGCCAGAAATTTCCCATAGAGGGCACCGCTGGAAAAATAACCACTGCAGAGATGTTCATACCAGTCTCCTCTTACATAAACAAATTTTCTTAGTGGCCCTAAGTAATTCTTTGCATCTCGGTCATCAAGGATATTATTCAAGCAAAGATGCATTTCTTTTCTAAACCCTGCTATTGGTGGCTTCTTTTATCAGGGAATAAGATGTAAGAACCATTCTGTTTCATAAAAAAAAACCTGCTCCTTTGCCTTAATGTCTGTCAAAGTACTTTACCTCTTCCCCAAGCAATCTTATTAATTTTTACTTAATCTCTCATAATGCAAAGGAATCAAAGAATAAATCTGGCAATCACCTTCTCACCCTTATCTCCATCTTGGCCACAGGCTCCTTTCATTCCTCGATCGCCCTGTAACAGAAATAAAATGAGCACCTCAAATAAACATAGCATTGATGCACACACCCCCAATTGTACTTACCATACTTAACAAAGCAAAATCTACTGTGATAATTTATAAAACAATACTTTGAAATCCATAAGAAATTGGTAAGATAAAGGCCTGATTAAAAAAAGATGGGAACCTCTGTCCAAATTTTTATCTCCTGCGAAATATGATGCAAACTGGCATGCAGAGATTGAACCTCCTTGTCAGTATAAGGGCTAGGTTGCTCTTTTTGCAGTTAAACCTAATAGCAATAGCAATTATTTATATACCACTTCATAGTGATTTATATCCCTCTCTAAGTGGTTTAACAGAATCAGCATATTTCTCCCAACAATCTGGGTCCTCATTTTACCAACCTCAGAAAGATGGAAGGCTGAGTTAATCTTAAATCAGTGAGAATCGAACTGATGGCAGTCCTCAGAATTAGCCTGCAGTATTGCATTCTAAGCACTGCACAACCACAGCACCAATGCTTTTGTGTAGCTTCTGACACCATCATACAAGTAGCTCTTTTCTGAGCTAATGTGGTCCTCTCCTTTGATATCTTCCCTGCATCAGCTTCACAAATCTTTGTGATGGAAATCAGCACCATATGACCTGGAGGGAATCTCTTAAATTTATAAGAAGATAAAAATAACCACGGTAGATTCGCACCTTTGGGCCTCGCATTCCAATGGGTCCCATTTCTCCTTTCTCCCCTCTGTTTCCAGGAATACCATCCTTCCCAGCTTGACCCTGGAGAAATAAAGATGACGGCAATGTGATTCTCTGACACAGAACTGCCCAATTGTAGGCAGAAACTGCAACACGTAAAAAGCACTCACCGGCTCTCCTGGTTCTCCTGATTTACCAATCTCTCCCTATGTAAAGGAAAACAGCCAGTATATAAATAACTGATAGGAAAATAAAACCATCCAGTAGATATACAACCATGAATGAAGAAATAATCTCTTGCCTTTTGCCCACTGGGTCCTCGTGCACCAGGGAAGCCTGTGGATCCTTTTTCACCTTGTTCACCCTTTACTCCCTAAGTTAAAATTGCAAATTACAGACAAACATGAACACCAGATCAAGGCAGAGAGAAAGAAATGCCCATCCAATTCCTGTGCTCAAGAAAAAAGGAAGCATTCATAATTATTCCATGCTGTAAGCAGAGTTCTCCATATAAATTTTGGCATAATGCTTTCAATCAGGGGTGAGCTGCTGGGGGTTTGCACGAGTTTGGGTGAGCCTCTAGCTAGGATTCTGCCCAGTTCGACGAACCCTCAAATTCTACCCCAGCTGATCATGCCCACCCTGCCCCTCCCCTCCCACCCCTCCCCTTCCAGGAGTCTCCACGTGGTCTGTTCATCATGCCAGGTAAGTGCAGTGCCTGTGTGGATGCTTGGGGAGGGAGGGAAATGGGTCTACCGGAGGTTCCATAAATCGGGAAACAGGACTATTTTCAGCCCCCAGAGGGCCTCCAGAGCCTGGGGGAAGCAGTTTTTGCCCTTCCAGAGGCTCAAGAAAAATTTCCAGAGCCTGGGGATGGCGAAAAACTCCCCTCCCCATTGGTGCAGGAGGCAGACTAGGCCACACCTACCATGGCCACGCTGACCCACCAACTGGGCAGCAAACCCGTTGCTGCAATTTTTTAAGCCCACTCCTGCTTTCAATGGATTCTCTATTGACTTGTGCTCTTGTATTCCAGTAAGTTCCTACTGTTTTGGTAGATAGATGGATTAGATACACTTTTAAATATAGAGACTGCCTTTTCAGTAGTGATCTACACATACGGTATTCATATAGTTTAATAAATATCTGGCAGCATGCAGCGTTTCATAATTCAGAAACACAATGAGCAAACAGAAATCTCTGCAGCAGCTGTCAGGAGCTACAAAGAGTGAGTATGAGCTTTTGACAAGGCCTAAAGATCTAATTTTGCCATTCTGACCATGATCCCTTCTCCAATGAAAAAAATGTTACAAAATTCAGCTGTGGCATTTGAAAATGCAGGATGAAAAGCTTCAATATGGAATGCTTTCAGGTAATGCACAGAGATTATACACTGACCTTACCAACTTCCTTCACTCTAACTATCTTCTGCACTCTAATACAGGTACTGGTTCCTTTAGCCCTCAGTGCCTCTAGAGTATGCATGATTTTTAGGAACAATTTACTCTTTTGAGGAGCCAGCATCTTCCTTTATCTGTGCGGGATACAGCAAAACATGGGCCTTTGCCTGCTCTCTTACCTGCCAGATACAATCCAAATTCCTCGCCTATCATGATAAATAGAACCCAACGATTTGCCCCAGTACCTTCTCTCCAATTATTCCGTGATCTCCTTTGTCACCCTTCTCCCCTTCCATTCCTTTTAGGCCACGTTCTCCCTAGAAAAGTGCAAGAGGAAAAAAAAAAACCTTTTAAATCATTAATGAAAGCCACTTTGATATAGTGGTTAAGACTCCAGGATAAACATTGGGAAACTGAGTTCTAATCCTGCCTTGGGCACAGAGCCAGATAGGAAGCCTTGGGTCAGTCACTTTCTTTCAGCCCTCAAAAAAAAAAAAGCAATGCAGCGGTGGTATTCAGCAGGTTCTGACCAGTTCTGGAGAACTAGTAGCGGAAATTTTGAGTGATTCGGAGAACCGGAAAATACCTCCTCTGACTGGCCCCACCCCCATCTATTTTCTGCCTCCCGAGTCCCAGCTGATAGGGAGGAAATGGAGATTTTGCAGTAACCATCCCCTGGAGTGGGGAGGAAATGGTGATTTTACAGTATCCTTCCCCTGCCACACCCACTAAGCCACACCCACTAAGCCACGCCCACAGAACTGGTATTAAAATTTTTTGAATCCCACCACTACAACGGCAAAGCACGTTAGGAAAAGATTGCCAAGAAAACTGCAAGGACTTGTCCAGGCAGAATCAGACACAATTGAATGAAAGGAAAAAATAATAATTGGCAAGAGAATCAAAAACAAAATAGAAGCGCTGTTATAAAAGAGCATTTGGATTAATTTTAAAGAAGTATATAAAAATAGATTTTTTTTTAAAAAAAGCGATGCAATTTAACTACAACAGAAATTAAGAGTTTTTGTGTGTCATATTACTTACTGGTTCTCCTTTATTCCCTCGGAGACCTGCTGGGCCTTCCACAATGACAGTATCTCCCTATGATTGAGAAAATATAACAATCAAGAAGGATCTAAATACTCCCAATTGTTCAGTTTCCATTTCTGCTCTGAACTAATACAATTTTTCCGTAATGCAAACATCAACTGTTCCATAATAAAAATATTTTATTTAAAACATGGCAAAAAACAAAAGTAATCAATTATCTCACAGCTAAGAAATGATCAGGGATTTATATCATAATTTCTGTTGGTCCTACCTGTTGAGACCTAGGACTCAACCTTGCAACTTTTGCCTGCAAAATCTGTGTGTGACTGAGTTTGAATGCCTTCTTCCTTCAAATAATGCAATTTGGTAAAAGAAGGAACGAAAAGATTTCTTACATTTTTTTTTCAAGGTTAGGATAAGGGGCAGATGAATTATAACGTTGTCAGTAGGCTGGTATAGATGCTGGCTTGCTTTGAAGAGTTTATTCGTTCATTCATGTATTTTCTAAGGCTTGCCAAGCAAGTTTATTTTGCAACTGCCTAGGTATTACCAGCTAATGTAACTTAATCTTTCCAAAACTGGGATACTTACTTTGTCTCCTTTCAGCCCCATAACCCCAATGTCGCCCTAAGAGGGGGAAAAAGTATAATTATACATTGATTTACACAATTTATTATTGTCAATGATATAGCACTCTTAGATCAGCTCAATTATAAATATACAGTATAGATGGATAATATTAAGGCTAATAATTATAATACATGGCACTTTACAGCAGAAAGTAAGATAATAAGCCCTTGCTTCCAGGAATCAACAGAGTCAGACTTTGGTAGGGATATTTTGAAAACTCATCTGATTTCACTGTGGCCTGGGTGCTTGCTTATAAAGGCACCAATTTATGGTGCCTTTATAAGCAATGTAAGGGAAAGGGGATACTAATTATGTATATTTTACAGGCTGGTTCCTTGTCTATCCCAAAGGTGTTTTGACAGAATTCAGATTTGCAGGCATAACAGGTGCTTGGCAACAGGAAATGCCAGATGTTTAGTTAGTTTTCTTTACTTATTCCAAAGCTAAAAACTATATTAATAAAATGATTTTATTTTTCAGTGTCAGAAATAGGACAGAGCAGGAAGATTCCTCCTACTTACTTTGTCACCTCTTTCCCCTCTGTTTCCAGGAGGGCCCTAAAGACAAAATAGAATGCTTAAATGCAAAATGCTTATGCTTGAAACTAAACAAACAGAGGAAAGAAAATTGAATGAGATATTTACAGCAGGCCCTCGATCTCCCTCCAGACCTGGGCGCCCATCTTCACCCTGAGGAAAGACAAATAAAACATTGTCATAGAACAAAAGAATAACAGGGGCAGGGAGTGGGACAACTGTACATCAAGCCCAAGCTGACAATTTCCAATGAAACTCAGCCAGCTGATAAATCCCAAAATGTCACAACTAATATTTATATTTTGTTCCAACATTTGAAACTTCACAGTCCTTTTCTGAATGGAGAAATGCTTTTATAAAGAATGGCTTCTGAATATTTTAATAATATAATTTGCAAAAAGTAATATTGGGTGGTAGAATCTCTAATCAGTCAGTTTACAAAATCTAGATATCTATCCTTTGCCTTAATAGGTGAAAAAACCAAATATCACAGTACTGCTAAATATTTTCTGCTTCAGACCATGCAAAATCTAGCACAGTTAGTTCTGTGCACTCATCTTTTGTGGTTGGTCAAAAATGTTTAGAATTCCAGCATAAGAGCATACAACATATTATGTTTCAAACCCTCAGGCTTTGATTTGTCAAAGTTTCTCTTCTTCTAGTTTGAAACTTTTCTTTTGAGTGAGAAATGGGTTCCCTTTGAAAACTTAAGAAATTTTCAGAGCTGAAAATTGTGTGAATTTTGGAATACTCCATCTCAATCTAAAAAAAGGCTATCTTGCACGCAAATAAATTTAATTTTGAAATGAGGAGTTTTATGAAGTTTTGCATTCAAACAATAATATTTTACACACCCATATACTACAGCTGTGATGGTGAACCTATAGCACGCGTGCCAGAGGTGGCACACAGCGTCCTCTCTGATGGCATGTGAGCTGTCGCTCCAGTTCAGGCATGTGAGCTGTCGCCCCAGTTCAGCTCTTCTGTGCATGTACACGCACTTCCTGCCAGCCAGGTGGTCTTCAGTTCTCTGCCGCGCATACGTGGGGTGCATGCACGGGGGAGGCGCATTGCATTTTGGGGGTTTGGGCACTCAGTCCGGAAAAGGTTAGCCATCATTGCCCTATAGTGTCACTATGTCTGGATAATGATGTTAAGATAATTCCAGAGTCAGTGTAAAATACCTACCCGAGTTCCTGGATCTCCTCGTTCTCCTCTAGGTCCTGGTTGTCCAATACCTATGTCCCCCTAAAAAGCATGACAAAGGAAAGCCTATCAGTGAATTCTGTTGCTATTTCCAGCATCTTTCTTGAATTATTTTTAGGCACATAAGCTTTATCAAAACTGAAAGTTGAAAGGAAAGGAAAGAAGAAAGGAAAAAGAAAAGGGAAAGGGAAGGAAAAAAAGATACAGCTCTCTAGAAATAATATTTGTACTATATAGTAGAGGCTCCTTATAATTCCTTTAATCTCTTTATATTTTGAAGTTAAAACTTCATTTATTAATAGTGAATCCAAGAAATGATTGATTGTAGAATGAGCAAAAATTAGAATAAGCTATCTTGGAGAAACAAAGGAGATTACCTTGTCACCCTTTACTCCTGGAGTGCCTGAAGTACCCTACAATAAAGCGATCATGAGAGAAGGGAATAAAAAAATAGATTAATATTTTAGACAGCAAAGAACATGTACATGTAGCAATGCAACACAGAGGATCTGATACAGACTGTACAGATTGTAAACCACTTTCCAACCACCTGTGGTTACTTACTGGTGAGCCTGGAGGTCCTGGAGGTCCTGGTGACCCTGCAGTACCCTCTCTTCCTGGGAAGCCAATCAAACCCTAATAAGGAAAATATCTGTCAACCCAAAGGCTTAAGTCCAGACTGGAAAAGCCTTGTTCATGGTGTATAATGAAATATACTGGAGTCTGCATTCCAGTTCTATAAGTAGAGTTACACACGGGTGGTCCATACTTAAATATGAAGGTATAAAATGTACATTATGGAAGAAAAATCATTTACATCAGGCATTATCTTTCGATCAGTTATGCACAGTCAGTTTCTTCAACTTTAAAGTTGAGGTCAGGATGGGGACGAAGATTGGAGGAAAAGAGGTCAGGATTTAGCCCAAGGACCTAGGATTTCCCATCTGCGTAAAACCCAGTGAATTAGTTATAAATAAGGTGACATTTGTCTTTAGACAAAGAACAAATCTAAAGACTAGCCACTATTATGGAGAAATCCAGAACAAGAGGGCAATACAAAAGGTGATAAAAAGGGGAATGATCAGTGATGGAATAC